GGCGGCGGCGGCCCCGAGCAGGACGAGGACTATCGCTACGAGGTGCTCACGGCTGAGCAGAGCCTGCAGCACATGGTGGAGTGCATCCGTGAGGTCAACGAGGTCATCCAGGTGCGCCAGGGGGGTGTCTTGGGGAGGGGGGCCCTTGTGAACCCACCCCCCTCTTGCAGGAGGCATCTGGGCCCAAAACACCGCTCTGCACCACCCCCTTGTTTAGCAGGGGGTGTAAGAACTCCTAGGCCGCCGAGCCAGCCCGTCCCCAGGGCCCGGCTTTGTCCCCACTTGCCCCAGGTTTTTCCTTGTTTCTCCCACAGGTGACAGGCACCGCGCGTGGGGGTTTCTTTTGTTCCCCCTCGCGGGGGAAGGCGAGCAGGAAGAGGCCACCGGCCTGTTCCGGAGGCTGCGGTCCCCGCGGATCGGCTGTTGGCTCCTTGTGTGAGCTCCGCTGCTCCGGAGCGTGTGCTCCAGAGTGGGACATTAGCCGCTGGAAAATGCTGCTGTGTGTGGTGCAAGCAACTGCCCGGGCGCTCGGCTAGGAAATCAGTAAATGACCTTTCTGAAGTCAAAATATAATAATAATAGCACCTTAGACTGGATAAAGGAATCTAAATTAGCTTTCTCGCTGCTAGAGTGCACAACTGAGGGAGGCCTCTTTGTTAAATGCAGATATCTGTTTGCTGCCAGTTATTGATCCTGATATTGGGGCGCAGATGTGCAGGCAGTGCGTTAGCCATGCAAATGTTTGCTAACCTCAAGTGGCGCTTGCTGAATTAGTGGTTGAAATGGGCGCCATGCGTTTAATGAGCAAGGCAGTGAAAACCACGGCCCTTAGTGTTTGCACGGAGCGGATTCTACCATTTCTCTTATCTGTACGTGAGCAAAGTGGCGGAAACGTCCCCGTTGTTGAGCAGCAGCGCGTGTTCCTGCTGGTGGGTTCTCCCTGTCTTGGCCCATGCGCTGAATTTGCTCCTTTTTTTCCCAAACTGATTTCTCAGTGGAGGTCCCGGCTTCTTGTCCGTGTGTTTTCCTTCTCTTGCGCCGCCCTTGAGCCGTGCAACTCGTGTGCCTGACGTCAGAGCGGCAGGACTAGTGGGCAAAAGTCAATACAGGTAAAGGACTCTGCTCCCTTCTTGGACCTGGGGAGCTGCAGAGGGCCCTGCTTTTGTTGGGAAACTGCCTGCGCAGCCACATTTTAGTTACCAGCAGTGGGTTTGCAGTTGTTGTTCCTGGTTTAATAGAGAAGAGTACAGAAAACTGGTTTACGTTCAGTGTAAACATGAGCTGTAAAGTCAGCCTAAGCTCTAGAATGTGTCAGAAGAGAGTAGAAAAACACACAGTTGTCTTGAATTGCTTTTAAACACCAGGTTATTGCTATTTGTTTTCTAGTGTGTTTGGAGGTAAATGAGCTTAATTCAGTTGGTGCTTGGGTATTTGGTCATCCTCGCTGCTGTTGCTTGTGGCGAAAGCTTGCAGGGCTCTGTGCTGTTTATTTCCTGCTGCTGGCACCCGACCAGGACTGCTGCTGCCACTTTTCTGGTTCAGGAAACCTTTTCTGGACTCACGTTGGCTCAGGATCCTGCTGCAGATCCTTGGTCGCAGGCCTGTGATTCACTTGTTCCAGTCTAGCCCCGAAGAATTTTGGTCTTTGTGTGTCGAAATTCAGATCTTGGTGTCATGATAATGGTTGCAGTTATGGTTTGTAGGGTCCGGCAGCTTCTTTGCTCCAGTGAAGTTGTGATGCAGGGAGCCCTATAGCTGGAAAAGCTGGCTGCAAGTCTTCTGCCCTGTAATCAGCCAAGGCACCAATTTCTGATCCAAAAAGCAGGTATAAATATGATTTTCGTTCAAGTTAATCTTTGCACTTGGAGTGAAAAGGTATCGGTAAGCAGCAGAATATCTGTGTCTGGGGATGAGGCACGGCCCATATAACTCCCATACATAGGGAGCTGGGCCCCAGTCTGTGCTAAAAGGCTGCATTTGAATAGCAGTTTTTTACTTAATAAATGCTAGTCAGGGAGACCAAATTTCCAATCCTTTTTAGCCACTTCCAAATAGCATCTGTATATGGAAAAACTTCTTAATTATGGGGGTTTAATCTGATGAAGACCTTGCTGAAATAGTAGCTATTTTGTGGCAGACTTTTTGGCTACCAAACGTGCAATTTATGCGGGTAGAGAGCAGTGTGCTTTTGGAGAGGGCCCCTTAGAGCCAATACCTGCTGCTTTGGGGTCACTTGGCCTTGGGAGACCACGAAGCATACGGTGAATGGGGAAGGTTTCAGGATGACTCAAATACTCGGAATATTTTTGCACTGGTGCTGCAGATTTGCCTGGCTATAAGCAGGATTTCAGGTGCTTAATGATGATTTTTACAGACTGTTTAGCACTTATGCTAATAATCTGATTTGACCCCACGTGCCACCTAACAAGAACTCCCCTTCTTCCCCACGTGCAAAAATAAACCCCTTAACTGATGCCTGGCTGGGACTTTTAGCTCCAGCCTCAGGCCAGGGTATCACTTCCTTGTGTTGCTGTAAATCCATTGAATAGTGATTCATTCGGTGGGTTATTTCAAATTTTAGCCATTAAAGTAAGATTTTTTTTTTTTGCCTCCCCGCCCCCCCCCCTTTTTTTGTATGGAATAACTTACAGAGCAGCTGCAAAAATGCAGGCATGAAGGGCAGTGTCTGCAAGTTGCGTTAAACAAAAGTTTTTATTTAAGAGGTGTTTTCCCCCCGGACTTAACTGTGCTCTTCCTCTCAGTCCTTCAGGAAGGATTCTCCAAATAAGTCTTTACTATTTTTTTTTCTATTTTTATCTCTGATTGCTATTTATATCTTTGCTCTAGATTTTCTGAAAATAAACCTGCAAACGTTAGAGCAGTGTGTTTGCTTCTGCTGTGAACAAATAGCGCGTGTCACGGTCTGCGTTTCTCCTTGCAAACCTGTGCGTTTTGGGTCTTTCTGCCTTGGGTCGTTTTTTCTTTTCGGCCCCCTTTTTTGGAGCATCTGAGTGACATCCTTGTGATGTCACTGACTGGGGTTGATGTCACTGACTGCCTTTGTTCTGTCCGGACCTTTGTAACCTGTGGGAAAGGTACTGAAAATGCTCGGCTGCAGCTCTGAGGGAGGGCAAAAATTGCTCGAGACCCAGGTTTAAAACAAAAAATGCAGAATGCCAACAAAACATTAACCCCCAAGGCTTTAAGATAACATTTTTTATGAGCAAAACAGAGAGTGTGCGATACCTGAATGTTTGTACTGAATATTCCTTCCTTGTTTAGCTGATGATAAACCTGAGTGGGTGCTTTGAAAACAGAGTCAGGTCTTCAGTGGCTTTAAAAAATTGACATTAAAAGATGCCCAAGCCCCACGTTACGGTTACCCACTTGTTGAATTTGTCGGGGAGCAGCTTTTTTGAGAGGCCGCCGCGAATATTCGCCGTGTGCTGCTGTGCCACTAAACAGAGCTCTGTTACAGCGAGTGTCAACCTATTGTTGCTTGGGAAAAGTGGCCGTGTTAAAGGGAGGCTGGAACAAAACAAAACGTCCTGATTCCTGGGCGTAACTCGGGAATTTTCCCTCGCGGTGGTGTAATTCAATGCTACTGCCAAACAGTCAAAATACGTTGCCCAAAAGAGGGATGGGAGCAACAAGGCTTGCTGTTATCGTGCACACTTGTGCTTAGAACTGTATTGTGTGTTGGAGATGACGCGTTGAAAATGTGGAGTTCGTGAAACCTCTTGGAAAGTGTCAGGTAGCTGTGGGAACCGGTGCTTCAGGCTGATGCTCCTTGTGCTTGGATCCCCTTGCAACCCTCTAACTGGGCTTAATCCAGGACTGACTGTTTTACAGTGAGTGGCTGCTGGGTCCTCAATGTGGCGATGCAGGAAGGAAACGCTTTGTTAAACATGCAGCTCTGTCGTGTGGCGTTTACAAGGTGTTTCATTATAGCAATGCATCTAATATTTCCAAGGAGCAAACATCACTGTGACAAAGCTTGTTCCCAAGACCTGTTCTACGGGACCACAGCGGCTTTCTGGAGATGGCCCTGTATCTGGTCCCAAACAAGACTTGTAGTTCTGAATTTAATAGAAAACGTTGTGCGAAGGATTATAAATGACACAGGGATGGGGCAGAAAAGTCTGTTGTATGTGCGAGTCTCCAGCCTACCCTAGACATCGTACTTCAGTGACACATTTGCTCAGCGCTTTAGATTTCCCTGTTAGGCCAAAGGTAAATCTTGTGGCTGGCCCTGAGTCAAAATGGATGCTGATTTGTTTTGCCCCAGTGTAATTTTACAAAAATCACCACGAGCAGCTTTCTACCAATGGACATTGCTGCAGATGGGGACTGGGATGTATTGGGGATATTTCAAAGTGAAACTGAAAACACTGTTGTTGGTTTCAGCTGCTCTAAAATATTTGTATTATTATTCATCTCTTCTTAAAAAGGGGGAATACTAAATTATAGATACAGTAATTGGCATTTCCTGTGGGTTTGATTTGAGCTGCTAGGAACCAAACTGGCCATGCAAAGTAGAAACGTTACCTCCACCAGGACGTGGTGGCTCCGGTGCCGTTGAGAAGTCGGGGTTGAAACGGCAGCTCTCATTTCATGCTTCGTGATGTGAAACAAGGGCTATTTCTGGGAATAACGTGGTACGCTGGAAGTAAGACGCAAAACGAAGCTGCAGTTTACGCTTTCCCACGTATCCCAGCTTCTGCCTCTCCTGTTTTTTTTTAAGCTTGCATGAGTTAAGTTTCACTATTGGAAATACAAACCAGCTTCTGATGCTGCCTCTGTTTTTGTGATGGAGGTGTAGCGTTGGCCCTGCACAGAATTATTTCATGTTTCTCCTTAGTGCTGTTTGGCCAAAAAATATGTTCAGGAGCGTGACGCAGGTCTTGCTGTGACAGTTTCCCCCTCCTTGGGCTTAAAGCTGAGACCTGCAGCACTTTGTTGTTAGTTTGAAGTGGCAGCGCCGACTCGTAAGTCAAAGGTAGCTCCTTGCACAGTGTTTCCCTCAAGTCTCCCTGATGCCTGCTGTATTTTTTTTTTCATTTTCTAGTTTGAAAATAAGCTCTTTTCCCAATTCTTTCCTGAACAAGATA